ATCAGCTGAGACAATGAAACAAGACGGCAATAAAGATCTTACATACGACCAGTTAAAATATACATTAGCTGACCTTTTTGCTGCTGGAACTGAAACAACAGCGACAACACTTAAATGGGGGTTACTATTAATGGTTCTTCATCCAGAAATACAGGACAGAGTGTTTAATGAAATTGATCAGGTACGTACTATACAAAATGCATTTGCAAATTAAGCAGGGTGTATCTTTCCTTGAATCGCATAATTGTAAAATAGCCAAATCTGCATCGAACTATTGAAACATTGTGTTGAACGGTGTTTGTAATCCCGGTTTCTCATGATTCCAGGTTGTTGGAGAAAACCGTCTCCCGAGACTTGACGATCGTAAAAACTTGCCTTATACAGAAGCCACGCTTTTGGAAATACAGCGATTTGGTAGTATTGCACCATTCACACTTCCTCATTGTGCGTTGAAAGACACTTCACTTGGAGGATATAATATTCCTAAGGGAACGGAAGTAATTATTTTACTATGGTAGGTTTCATCTATACGTATTCCTTACTTTCGTATCTGCGCGGACATATACAATTGTGTAGTCTGTATAAAAAATAAATCTATCTATATACATGTTTAATTAGATAATGTTAAAACGGTCAATTGGCGAATAAATATATTTATGATGTTTTGTCAACATATTTATACGGTAAAACAGTATAGAACTTTAAGACGTGTTCCGATATTTATAAGAAAATATTCGACATCTGAGAGTTTACTATTCCTAACACCAACGTTATTTTACAATTTTAACTCAGGTCAATTCACAAAGAGCCAACTATTTGGCCAGATCCAGACAAATTTGACCCTATGAGATTTTATGATGAAAAGAACAATGCAGTCAAGAAGTCTGAGAATTTCATGCCATTTTCTGCAGGTATTTAAGTGCATGTTGTTATGTTTACAAATCTTAACTCAGAAACTGTAGCAAATCTATCTCCAAGACACTGATATAAAGCGCATTTCAAACCACATTGGATACAGTTTATAATTATCATTCGATAGTATTTAGCCACAATACAGGAGATTTCTATTTGATACATACATACATACATACATACATACATACATACATACATACATACATACATACATACATACATACATACATACATACATACATACATACATTTCTAATTTTTATTCGCAGGTATAAAAAAGATATTTACATTTCTGTTATTACATAACTAAAAAAGATAAAAATATAGGTTTACATGAAAACCAAGATATCAAATTCGAATAAATACGACGAGTAAGTATTGTTCAGGTAGGTAGTAAAGATACTATTTAAGTATTAATCGTTATAAATAATACAGCTCTCATTGTTATTAACAAATACGATGATGATAATGTTCATAAGGGTGTTATTTCAAATAATCCGCGTAGACGAGTATATCTTCTGCAATGGATG